GTACACACTGTAATAGTTATGCCCTACTGCACATCCTGTACAGCTTAATTTCAACCTTATATATTTAATTTTTGTTATATACTGAGATATTTATAATTGAGCTATTATATACATTAGAGCTATTTTTTAGTTTTTCCAAATTAGTAAAGTATTGTATTATTTAATTTAAGGTTTTTACTGTCTCGGAGCAACTGTGAGCACATAATATAGTCTGGGATTAATAAAGTATTCTGATTCTGATTCTTTGTAATATCTGCCAAATCAGACATGCAGAGTTACCTGCAGCTTGTAGTGTCTATGGATGCTGTTTGTGTTTCCATGTTCACATTGAATCAAAGTATAGTAAGAAGGTAAATTAATGGAATCTAAAGCAAACATCTGAGTATTGCTTTAATGTGGTTTTTGAAATATTTAAAATGGAAACATTGACATTGTCCTTAAAAATTCGAAAAGACAAATTCTACAAAATATGGAATGAATGGATTAGCTTTGTGTCCCCCCGCCCTGAATTTATGTAAGGCCAGCCCTGAACTGGTGTATCTCTCATGTATTGTACAATGTCAGGTCGACCCTACTTCATAATATGTATTGATGTACTTTATGTAAATAAGTTAAACATGCTGCATTATGTATACACTGTCAAGCCACCAAATACACTCTTTGTTATCTGAATGTAAAACAAAATGACTAAGAAAAAGTCCCTTTTGGGGGGTCGGGGGTCTTTTTTGACTAAATAATATTAATGCACTTTTTCAATAAAAATATAATTTTTTAAAAAAGGAATCTAAAGCAGTAAAAGGGATTGCTACAGCGGATTGCCCCACAGGGGTTTGTGTCTTCGTCAGGTCCCAAACCAGGGATTTTTCATACACAGTTTTTAACAACAGTTGCCTTTAGGCATAAGACTTACTTACGTATTATTTAGCATTTGCTATAAATCTACTATCTGGCGCTATATTACTGTAGATGAAGCGATGACTGTGAGATAAGCTTACCGAGCACTTTAAAAGCTCGTATGGCTTTAATTCCCACCTGAAATCACTAACCAATCACAAGCGTCCGAACGAAATCGCTACATCCAATCAGATTTAGAGGAGAACTATTTGAAAGCTGCTCGTCGCTGTGTTGTTTAGCTACAGAAATAACTGTTTACGGATTTTGTTGGGAAACTGTCCTCTGTTAGTCTGAATTATATGCTCTTTTACTTGTTCTTGGTCACTCTGTGTCCTCGTTGCTGCCCACGGTAAACATGTCTGTGGAAGTTCGTGCTGCGGTGAGTAAAAAGACTTTTGTTTGCTAGAGAAGCGCTGCTGTTGG